CCCCAAAACCCCAAAACCCCAAAACCCCAAAACCCCTATCTGGCTTATAAAAATTGAGAGTAAGAATAATCTCTATGAGAACAGAATTATTGCTTTGTATAGCTACTTAGGGGAGGCCTAAACTCTGTGTGACTCGAAGAAGTCTCCCTATTACGTGAACTCTTCCTATCTTTATACTTTATATATCCTGATAGGTTATATTTAGTAGGAAAAGCCTTATTCGGCATCACATTTTCCTTGTTCAATTGGTATCTTAGCTTTGATCCAACTGAGTTTTCTCTAAAAGATTTCCTGATAGTTGGTGGTTTCTTTTTAGAAGAAGCAGTCGAAGCCTTAGTAAATGATCTATCTCTACTATACCTTGCAAAATCACTTTTTCTTGCACTATTCTTCAATGCACTGAGATTGCTACTAATAGTGCTAATATTATTCCTACTACTCGAAGTGTTCATTTGCATATTCATTTGGGCACTTTCCATGCTCGTCCTAAGAGAAAGAAGATTGTGCTCGAGCTCTTCCAGTTTACTGGCTTTTTGTTTGAGCTCTTCTTCTCTTCTGTTTTGCTCTTCATCCCTTCTATTTAGTTTTTCTTCTATCCTATCTAACTCGCTCTCTCTATTTTTTAGTTCTTCTTCTTTCTTTGACATTTCTTCTTCCCTTCTCTTCATCATTGTGTATTCCTCTTTAATCTTTTTCTCTCTAAGGCAAACAGTGACTTGAGGGTTTTGAATAATGTCATCGATGGAAGGCCTCTTATCAGGGTCTCTCTGAAGCATTCACATGATAATCTCCTGTAATGCAGGGGAATATTGCTTAGGAAGATCATCTACCTTCCCCTCCTTAATTTTTAAGGCCAGAGCCATCTGATTTGTAGCCCTGAAAGGAGGCCGGAGAGCGGCAATTTCGTATATAACTCATCCAAGAGACCAAATATCGCTCTTATCATTATATTTCTTGGCATTAATTTGCTCAGGAGACATATAGTATGGAGTCCCAACTCTCGTGACTGCGTACATTGAATCTACCCCCATAACTCTGGAGAGTCCGAAGTCTCCTATTTTAACATTATTATTCTTATCAAGGAAGACATTTCCGGGTTTGATGTCTCTGTGTAGGATCTTTCCTCCCTTCCTATTATGACAGTTGTATAGAGCGTATGCGATTTGTGAAAGGATTTTCCAGACGATTTTTTCGCCAACATAATCCTTGTTCCTCTTACAATTCTTTATAAGTTTAGCCATGTCTCCGTTCTCACAGTATTCCATGACAATGTATATTTTTGCTTTAGATTTGTCAATAATTCTGTCGTAGTATTTAACAATGTTCTGATGCTTTAGCTCACGTAGGATATTAACCTCAGCAACAATTTGCTGCTTTTCTTTGTCTTTCATTCTTCCATAATTGAGTTCCTTCCAGCAGAGGATTTTGCCATCACTTTTTCTGCGAATTTTTGAGACTGACCCGAACGATCCTATAGCAGGAGAGTTTAGCATGAAATCTAAAACCTGGAAGGGAGTTTATAGGATAGTTTAGTACATGCTAAGAGCTATGAAAAGCTTCTAAGGGTCAAAACTTACCGCTGCCAATTTCCTCCAATTTTTCATAAGCGTCCATTTCCCAAATTTAAATTTTACAGTTTTGAATTATTTCCATTCCCATTAAAATCAAAGGGGTTTTGGGGTTTTGGGGTTTTGGGGTTTTGGGG